GAAACCTTCGGTTGGTCCAGTTTTTGTCTGATATCTGGAACCTGTTTGCCTTTAGACTTGACGCAGCGTGTGAGGAGGTTAATGATGTGGTGGAGTGTGCAGCATTGGACCATAAAGCTCTCACATTTAAGTCCACGCTGGAACCAGTTGGCCCATCACATACTGTTTTGTAGCCGACCACTTCAAAGCGTTCCAGGCTCCGGTTGCCTAGGTGACCCTCTAATGTATTTACCACTCAGTGGTATTCTTCGCTGTCATTGGGTAGACCCTCGAGTTGCTCGCCTCCAAGTTGAGGAGAGAACATCACAGATCTGCACACTTCACATCAGCAGCCCTTTCTTCATCCACGTGCGCTTGAAGTGGCCAAAGATGGTTCACTCGTTACTGAGAATACCTTCCAGTGTGTATGCAGCTTTAGACTGGTTGGTTCTGACTTGGAACTCATGTCACAGTTATCTTATTTGGAGAACTGGGACAAAAGGTGTTCCACAGGGGTCAGTACTTGGCTCTGACCTATTCACCTGGTTCTCAAATAACCTGGTATCACTGACTAACAGCGGCTCTATTCATTACTATGCTGTGGATAATGTGGTGTACTCATTCACACCTTCTACTGACAAAGCCTTGAACTACCATTCATCCATTTTTATCAAACATTTACCCAGTTTAGAGAGGCTGCAGCCTATCAGAGGGCTGCTCTGAACCTAAAACTGTTTGTTTGGTCATTTCAAAGATGTGATTAGATTTAAGCTTCTCTGGTTAGATAAAGACTTATATTTTTATACTTATGTGGAAGAACTGATGAAGACGCAGAGTTAGGTTCACTTTGAGCTTTAGAAACAGAAAGTGAACCTAACTTAACCTTAACTGTCTGTCCGTCGTTGCTGTGAGATGCTTACAGGACGGCATGATGAACTGTGGCTCGGTGTTTCCTGCATAGCCGATCTTTGTGTATCTGCAGCCACACAGACAGAAACAACAGTTAGACATAAAGGTTCTTAACATCTGGCTGTGGGTCCAAATACGGCCTCTGTGGAAAACAGTGGAGTGACTCCCAGCAGACATTTATAAATTCAGTTTTGCACATAAAACATTGATAAAACATCAGGAAATGAGTCAGCAAACAGAGGCGTGACCGATTACTGCTTTGTCTTTGACCTCTATGTAAATATTCAGTTCATGTAGAAAATGATGAGCAACAGTAACAATAATCAGGACCTGCAGATACAAAGCACCGAAACATCATTTCAGCAGTTTGACTTCAGGAGCGTTTGCCTGACGACACTCACAGTGTTTGACTCATTTTTACTGCAGACCTGTCCTTAGGATGATATCCTTTTACCTCATCACAAGGGAAAAGTACCTAAAGTAACTGTAGTAACTGTAAAGTAACTGTAGTATTTTCACTACATCAAAAAAACACGAACAAAAAAAATGACATCTTGTTCCATTAAACTGAGTTCTGACAAATAAATCATGAAAGATTAAAAATGAACTGAACTGGCTGTGATTGCTGGATAGACCCACACGTCTAATACCTGACCCTGGACCCTGGGATCAGTTCTAATACCTGACCCTGGACCCTGGGATCAGTTCTAATACCTGACCCTGGACCCTGGGATCCCTCTCCAAAGCCAGACCAAACTGATCTGGGACCTGCTCTGAGTGTTTTTGGCTGTTATGCGTGCGTTCACGGCTGACAGTCAGCTCAGCGTCACCCTTTAAACGCCTGCAGCCGTGAGCTATTTCTAAACGACCCCACGATGTCACCTTGGCTCGGGGGCATGGACCGACGTCGAGGCTGAAGGAGATCACGTGATCTCTGATTCTGAACAGGGGGAGGGGGGTCAGTGTGCAGCTGTCCCACATTCACACTGTGGCCCAGAATAGATCGCGCACAGACTGGTCCACAACTTCACCTGAACCTCCACCCAACCAGCAGCTCCCACAGCAGCAGCTGGATGAACATGTGGAACAGCTGGAGCTCAGTGTAAGCACCGCCATCAGCCCCTCACCTGCTCCAACCACCTGATCATCACAGCGCGTTTACCTCCACCCACTGATGGATGATTCCATGAGCCAGCTTTTATTTTGGTAATCTGTCCCTGTAAACACAAGCACGCGCGCGTACAAAAACACACACACAAACACGCACACTCACTCCGGAGGATTAAAGCCAGGAAAGCTGTGGGTCCAGATGGCATCAGCTCAAGGGTCGTCAGGTCCTGCGCGGACCAACTGTGTGGGGTGATGGAGCACCTCTTCAACCTGAGCCTGAGGCTGGGGAGAGTCCCACAGCTCTGGAAAACCTCCTGTGTGTGGCTCTGACATCCCCCCTGATGAAGACTCTGGAGTGGCTGGTCCTGGCTCAGCTTCGGCGCCTAACAAGCTCATCACTGGACCCACTTCAGTTTGCCTACCAGCCTGGCATTGGAGCGGATGATGCCGTCATTCACCTCCTACATCGTTCCCTCGCTCACCTGGAGACCGCTGGAAGCACTGTGAGAATCATGTTCTTTGAGTTCTCCAGTGCCTTCAACAACATTCTTCCCACGGTCCTGAAGGACAAGCTGGAGAACTCTGGAGTGGACCATCACCTCACAGCATGGATTCTGGACTACCTCACCGACTGACCACAGTATGTGAGGACTCAGGGCTGTGTGTCGGACAGGGTCGTCTGCAGTACGGGGGCCCCACAGGGAACGGTTCTGGCTCCGTTCCTCTTCACCATCTACACTGCAGACTTCTCCCACAATTCCACCCAGTGCTTCCTGCAGAAGTTCTCTGATGACTCTGCAATAGTCGGCCTCATCACTGATGGGGACAACAAGGAGTACAGAGGACTGACTCAAGACTTTGTGGACTGGTGCCAGCTGAACTACCTCCAGATCAACACTAGTAAAACCAAGGAGCTGGTGGTAGACTTCCACAGGCACAAGCATCCTCCACTGCAACCACTGAACATCCAAGGTATGGACATCGAGGCTGTGGACAGCTACAGGTACCTTGGTGTTCATCTGAACAACAGACTGGACTGGACTCATAACTCAGACGCCCTCTACAGGAAAGGGCAGAGCAGGCTGTACCTGCTGCAGAGACTCAGGTCTTCTGGAGTGGAGGGCCCACTCCTGAAGACCTTCTATGACTCTGTGGTGGCCTCAGCCATCTTTTATGGTGTGGTCTGCTCTGCATCTCTGCCGGGGACAGGAAGAGACTGAATAGGCTGATCAGAAGGGCCAGCTCTGTTCTAGGATGCCCTCTGAACTAGGGCTGGGCTATATCATACCGTTCACGGTAATACCGGTGTAATTTTGGGCAACGATAGGAAAATGAAATACTGCGATAGAATTTGGGTAAAACGCGCATGCGCAGTGCCTTTGTTTACATACCCACATGGCGGCGACGCAGAACGAGAAGAGCGAAAGTGGATCGTTGAATGAAACGGATGAACCTGAACTGGTTTGTAAGAATGCTGCAGCTTCACTGGTGTGGAACTGGTTTAGCTTTCGTCCGTCAGACACACAACAAAGCACTATTTTTGGTAGCGCATGCTAGCGGGCCGCCGTTATTACCGTGTTTTTGGAAAATACGGCGCACTTAAAATCAATCCTTTGATTTTTCTGAAAGTCGACAGAGCCCCTTATAATCCTGTGCGCCTTATGTATGAACTCTGGTTGTGTTTACTGACCTCGAAACCATTTTATGTGCACGGCGCTCGAAAATCTGTTAAATGTTTTAGTACAACTTTGCTAAGCTACGAAGCCGCACTGCTTGATGGATTGTCCGAGCATTACGGCTATCGTAGGCGGAGCCTCGCGGAGTGATACGTACTGCGCTTCAATATAATGTTACCGTATTGTGTGTGTATAACCTCGTTTTAAGTTTTGTGGATATTATACATGGTCATGCTGAGGATATGTCGCCCGGTTTCCACTGGAAATGTCAGCAAAGAATTTGCATTTGCACTGTTACATTTTATATAACTTTAATGCACATAAAACAGCTGCTTGTTTAAGTGAAAATACATTGATGGGGTTTTTTGCACTAATAAAGTTGTGGAGTTGTAAAGTATTTTGTCTAGTGTCAATTATATCGTCAGTTATATTGTTATTGCAAATGTTCAAATGTATATGGTGATAAATATTTTTGGTCATATCGCCCTGCTCTACTCTGGACCCAGTGGAGGTGGTGAGTGACAGGAGAACGGGGGCTAAGCTGTCATCCCTGTTGGACAACATCTCCCACCCCATGCAGGAGACTCTGACAGCACTGAGCAGCTCCTTCAGTGGCTGCAGCACCCACGGTGTGGGACGGAGAGATTTCGCAGGTCTTTCCTGCTGTCAGACTCCACAACAAAGACTCCAACTGATCAAACACACAAACCCACACATGTGCAACAAGACTAAGTGCAATACTCTTTCTGGCATCGTTGTATTATACTCATATTGTATATAGCATTTGTATTCTATTTTATTCGATTGTATATAGTATTTTATTTTTATTCTATTCTATTCTATTGTGTACAGTACCTTATGATATATTATTCCAGTGTTTTTTCTCAAATTTTTCTATGCAACTTTGCACCGTCCACTGCTGTAACAAAACTAATTTCCCACGCGTGGGACTAATGAAGGCTATCTTATCCACATACATGATGCTGTTCACAAAAACACATGACGTCACATGTACTGCCACTGCGCGCGCATGTGTGTGTGTGTGTGTGCGCTTGTCCTGACCCGGTCCCGCAGTCTATCACGCACGGGGGCAGCTGCAGGGACATGGCGCGGTCCTGCTCGGTCCGGCCCACAGAGCTCGGTGTCGGTGGTCGAAGCGGAGTCCGGTGTGTGATGGAGGGAGGAACGCGTACGCTCTGCGTGCGGGTACGTGAGCATATGTGTGTGCGCGAGCACTTCCGGGTCGGAGGGCGAGATGGAGAAAATAGAAACAGCTGACGCAGCCCCGGTAACCGGAGTCTGTGCTACGTTCACGTAATGTGCGTAAATGAGATCGCTGCTGTTCAGAGCACAGAGAATGAAAGAGAGGAGGAGGAGCAGGCTGTGATTGGCTCATCCTGCTTCCAAAATGTCAACTAATGCGCACTTTGAACTTTTAAATAAAGTTTATGGACGACAATGACGCGCTCGGTGTGATGAGGCGGGACGTCCAGCAGGGGGCGGCAAACACTCACAGCAGCATAGATAGATAGATAGATAGATAGATAGATAGATAGATAGATAGATAGATAGATAGATAGATAGATAGATAGATAGATAGATCCTGCAGGTGTTCAGTCTGCTGCTGTAGTCAGAGATAACACAGTTACACAACCTGCACAGCTCAGCAGTGAGTCCTCAAACACGTGAGGACACTGGACAGAAGAACAAGTGTCCTAAAAACTCTCTGCAGGTGAACAGCACCTGAGGCATGATGTGGCGACATGATGTGGATCTGAGACATGATGTGGACCTCCAGCTCATCAGGAAGCCGTTCTTCATGAAGACACAGGCTGAGCTGTGATGTCTGATGGAGCCACAGTTGAAGGATCATGTTTCTGATTTTCCTCCATGCTCGAGACTTTTGCACAGTCCTGCAGCGTTCCTGGCTCAGACTCAGTAGCGGTTTTTGATACGGGCGACACGGGCGGTTGCCCGGGGTGGCATCATGGTGCGGGGCGGCATCACGGGCATCGGCAAAATAAAAATAAAAATTACTCGTAGTCATGCTGCCCCGACATCATGCCAGCGCATATTGGGAATGTCGTAGGCACCGACTGGGTTTGCTGGGAGTAAGGGCGCCCTCCGTTTGCGAGGTGCGCCTGCTGCTTGCTGCACAGGGAGGAAAGGGCGGGCGGCGGGGGATTCTCTGCCTGGCTGGAGCAGCATCTAATAACCAACTCGCAAAATAAAACAAAATTAATTGTTTTATTTGCTGCTTAAGTCAAAGTAAACTTTATTGTTATCTCCGCTACATGCAGTACAGTAGTGCAAGTAAACAAACAATAAATATAAGAATAGTAAGAAAATAAACATACACTTTAGGACCAGGAGTAAAGGGATCAATAAAAATTAAAAATTTATAATTTACAGTTTGATGATTTAAAGTCTCACACACAACCCGTCGAAAGGGGAGGGGGCGGCGGCTTCCAAATAGAGCACATTTCATTCATAATGATGTAAATTCAAGCCCATTATGGATTCATGATTTGAACCCTGGGTTGTGCGAAATCCCAGAAATACAGCTTAGACAAAGTGAGTCTGTGAACTAAGGTGTAGGTGTGTTAGGTTATGTTGTGGTGATCCTCAGGTTGCGGGATTTGTGTTCATACTGGAGTGCAAAACTAAAACCAATGGAAGATGGACAAGAAAAGTTCAAAGCCATCAGGTGCTCAGCTTAGAAAAAAGAGAAAAGAAGAGGAGGAGAAACGAGCAACAGATGCAGGTAAGCAGATGTGTGATTGGATAATGGCAGGTCATCCTGAACCAATCAGAATCAGAATACTTTATTAACCCTTAAAGAAATTATGTGGGTTACAGTTGCTCCAAGAAGAAATGGTAAAAATAGTAACGGTAACAGACTAAACTCCAAACAATACATGATGTTACAGATTTTACACGTTTAAGAAACAGCACTAATATATACAGATCACTCAATTATAAATAGCAAGGACTAACAGAGGTGATTATAAATAAATATCAAGAAAATTAGTGAGAATATTCCAGAAAAGAGCGTGTTCAGCACAATATTAATTAGTCATTGTCAATTCTTTATTTGTCCTGTTCTCATTGTACGGCGAATTATGATGGCTGTTTGGTAGCCGTTTGCATAGTATGCATACTCTCTCTCTCTTCATGTATGTGTGTGCTTCTCTGGTGAAATTCAGTATGGGTCCAACAAGTTTTATGTTAATGTATAATCCATAATGTGTGTGTGTGTGTGTGTGTGTGTGTGGGTGGAGGGGGGGAGGGGGCGCCGGAGGGAGTGTTCGCCCAGGGCGCCAAACAGGCTAGGACCGCCACTGCTCAGACTGACGTTTCTCATCATCGTCACAAACACGTCACGTGTTGGAAAAGTCGGCTTTTGTTGCTCTTACATCACGTTTCACTTACAAACCACGACATTTTTACACGTGCACGCCCGCACCCACGCGCGAGGAGCTGCAGATGCGAGTGACGTAGGATGAGGAAGTGCGCGCTCGCGGAGCAGAGCTCCTCCTCCTCGCAGAGCTGCGGGGGAATCCCGGAGGGGCGTGCCCGCTGTTTGCGCGTAAGTGTGAGCAGCACGTGCATCGTGAAGGGAGCGGACTGATTATCGGTTATTGATCAGAAGCAGCGCGCGCCGTCGCGCCGCCATCACCTTGAATGTGTTCAGAGCGCGTCCTCGCGGCGCGCCCCGCGGCTGCGCGCGCACCTCCGCCCGCCGGTAACAGAGCACCGCGCGGAGCCTGAACCGGTCTGAACCCGATCCTCGGACCGTCCTCGCTGTGGGCGGAGTCTGAAGCGCTGACGTCACAGCACAGCTGATCAGCGATCGATACTTGTGTGAGGAGTTGCAGCACGTGACTGTCAACTGCAAAAGGCGTTCTCATTGGCTGAGGAGGATGACGTGCTGGTGGTGAGCCAGCGGGGGGCGATGGCCGCCGCCTACAGCAGCCGGGACCTGGTGGAGGACTTCCTGCGCTACAAGCTGCTCGGCAGGGGCGTGGCTTGGCCTCAGCGCCGGGCCAATGACGAGAGAGCCCCGCGTCCAGGTGAGGAGACGTCCACTTAGTTACCCGCTTCCTCAAACATGTCGCAGAGTAATGGCATCATCATCTCCTCCTAGACCCTCCTGTGGCCCCACCCTGCCTGCAGACCGTGCTGCGGAGCGCCGGCGATGAGTTGGAGCGACTTTACGGCAACGAGCTGTCTGCGCAGGTGACGGTGCTGCAACTGCGTGGGAACGGCGGTGGCGCTGCACGCCGGCGCCACCTGACGGCTATCAGAGAGGAGCTGTTCAGGGATGGCGTGAACTGGGGACGCATCGTCGCCATGATGGAGCTGGGCGGAGCTCTGAGCGCCGCGGCCGCCAAGTCGGGCGACGAAGGTCAGATGGACGATATCGCCAGCTGGATGGAGGAGAGTCTGGACTCGCCGTCGCTCCGGAGATGGATCCATGACAACGGAGGATGGGTAGGAGCACGATTTCCCTCCGAGTCCTTATCTCCACTGATGTTTCCTTGTTTCCTTTGCTGTAACCTTTCTCTGTTTCCTTGTGGTTGACTTTCCTGCTTGGCTGTGTCCTTCCTCATGCATCCTTCCATTCCTGTTTCCTCATCTACTCCTCTCTTGTCTTCCAGCTGAGAGCCCCTGAATTTTCCTGGAATTCCAGGACTCCTTGTTTCTCATCAATTGATGAGGTGGTTTTGGTTCTTCCTCTGCTTTTTCGGGGGTTCTGAAAAGGTGCTTGAGAGTTTTTAATGTTTAATGAGGTTCAAGTGTACTTGAAGAAGTTCATGTAAGCTAACTGTGGTCTGGCTGTGGTTGAAGGAAGTCCAGGACAGAGTTCAGGATCGACTGAGCACGCTCTGGTGCTTCAGGGAGTCGCAGATATGTTTGAGGCGTCCTTGAAGGAGGTGAACCTGCAGGAGTGAGAGAGCTGAGGAGATCGCTGCAAACGTACCAGGAGGTCCGACGAATCAGATCAATCAGACAATATCAGAGCCACAGAGAGTGTATGAGCACTGAACATGGGGGTGTTTGTGAGGACCCTAAACCTGGTCCCGACCTCACCCTTCAAACAGACACACACACACACACACACACACACACACACACACACACACACACACACACACACACACACACACACACACACACAGAGTATTTTGGTTTGATTGCAAATTATATGCAAAGTGTAGAAAATCCCTAAAACTCTGTGGCCTCTGTGTGTGTGTGAGTGTACATGTTTAGACATCTTGGTGGGGACAGTAAATTGGCATGCACTATACCTGTGGGGACCAACAACATCCTCACGAGTTTGAAGACATTTTTGAGACTCAAAATGTGGTTTTAGTGTCAGAGCTACAGTTAAGCTCAGGCTCAGGTCTAGGCTCAGGGTTAGAGTTCATTTTAGGTGGATACGGCAAGCAGCTGGGGAAAGCATTATGTCAATAAGATGTCCCCACAAGGATATAAAAACATGACTCTGTGTGTGTGTGTGTGTGTGATGATAAAACCGTTAAACTGAAACTGAGACACACACACACATAATCCTCATGTGACCTGAGAAAGTTGAAATGAGCAGCGAGCGTCTCCCTCCTGCAGAGGGAGCTGCGCTCTCAGCTCTGCTCCAAACCTCCAGGAGGTCGCTGCATCACTCAGAGCTCCTGAATCATTCATTCATCCAAACATCGGTCAGGAGAACTGAAACCCAGCAAACGAGCCTCTGAGCAGCACGCCTCCTCAGTGAGGTGTGAGAGGAGGAAGCCCCAGGGAGACCCAGAATGTGCTGGGAGTGCCTCGTCAACCTGGAGAAGCAAGAAGTGGTGCTCCTACAGAGGGAGCCCCGGAGTTGGTCCTGATAAGGACTAGAAGAAAGGCCCTGTGACCTCATCAGGACGGGGCGTGTCTGTGAGCACAGCCTGGGTTTGAGACAGGCAGTGATTTTGTGACGGAGCATCTGAGGCCCGCTAACGTCCTGCTAACCCTGCTAATGACCTCTAACGATCCGCTAAGGCCCTGCTAATGATCTGCTAATACCGTCGTAACACCCCGCTAATTACTCGCTAACGCCCACTAATGACCCACTAATGCACTGTTAACGCGTGCTAATGATCCGCCAACAACCTGCTAACACCCTACTAATTACTCGCTAGCGCCCGCTAGTGCCCTGCTAACGCCCTGCTAACACCCTGCTAATCACCCACTAAAGGCCCACTAGCTCCCTGCCAACAACCTGCTAACACCCTACTAATTACTCGCTAGCGCCCGCTAATGCCCTGCTAACGCCCTGCTAACACCCC